GCCAGGCACCAGTGACTCATGCCTATAATCCTAGCTACTCAGGAGGCTGGGATCTGAGGACTGAGGTTCAAAGCAGCCCAGGTAGGAAAGTCCTGAGACTCTTACCTCTAATAAACTACTCAGAAAAAGCTGGCTCAAGTGATATAGCACTAGCCTTGAGCACAGAGAAGCTTAGAGACAGAGACTATGCCTTGAGTTCAAACCCCAGGTCTCGCAGGAGGAAAAAAAAAAAAGAGCAAGGAGCAAAGTGATCAATTTGAAACCAACCATATCAATAATCATATGGAATGTAAATAATCCTAACAGCACAATAAAAAAAAAGCAAAGATCAGCTAGTCTCCAGTAGCTCACGCCTACAATTCTAGACACTCCAGAGGCTGAGAATTGGGGATCATAGTTAGAAGTCAGTCAGGGCTGGAAAGTCTTTGCAACTCTTCTCTCCAATTAACAAACAAAAAGCGAGTGAAGGGTCAGTGTCAGCCTTGAGCTGAACAAGTTAAGGGATATTGCCCAGGATCTGTGATCAGGCCAAAGTACACAGATACACAAAAGCAGAGATCATCAGATTAGATTATAAACGAAGACCATAAGTATATGCTATCTACAAGAAATTCACTTCAAAAATAGGTTGAAAAACTAGGTTGAAAGTAAAAAGTTAATACCAGTCAAAATATAGCCGGAGTGGTGGTATTAATATCAGACATTGTAAATTTCAAAGCTAAGTATCTTGCTATGGATAAAGAAGGTTACTTCTTAATGATAAAGCTATGAATTTGTCAAAGAGACACAATATATGTACATCTAATAGCGTATCTTCAACAAACATGAAATAAAAGATGACAGAAGAACAAGAAAAAATAAGCCAGGTGCCGGTGGCTCACGCCTGTAATCCTAACTACTCAGGAGGCTGAGATCTGAGAATCACAGTTCCAAGCCAGCCTAGGCAGGAAAGTGAGACTCTTATCTCCGATGAACTACCAGAAAACTGGAAGTGGCACTGTGGCTCAAATGGTAGAGCACTCGCCTTGAGCTGAAGAGCTGAGGGACAGTGCCCATGCCCAGAGATCAAGTCCATGACCAAAAAAAAAAAAAAAAGGATAAGAAAAAATAAACAAAGCTATAATTACTGTTAGGATTTCAACACCCCTCTTCTAATAATTGATATAAGTAGGGAAATAAATTAGTAAAGATACAAATTTGAATAACTTTATCTAATTGAAGATTATGTAACATCCTCTATATTCATAGTTATACATTCTTTTCATGTGCCTAGGGAACATTTACAAAACTAGATATTTTGAGCAATAGAACAAATTTAAAATATCCCAATGATTAAAGAATGTTATTTGACCACAATGGAATGAAAGAAAGATACCTGGAAAATCTCTAAGTATTTGGAAACTAAATAACAAACTTCCCAGAATTAATTAACACTCTTCCTATTTTGAAAATATGGTATGTTTTCAGTCATTATAACTTCTATGTAACCTACATGGGTTTTTCATTGGTTACCAAACTTGGGGATAAATAAAAACTTTCAATACAGTAGTTATAGCTAATCATCTATCATTCATTTCTTTGGCTCAGTTTGAGTACTTTGTACATGACTTTATAAAATCTAAGGACGCAAAATGAATACAATACAGCCCTTGCTCTAAAGATAAGTTTAACAATTGAGTCTAACAAACTGTACATTTGCTTTATTTATTTTTAAATTTTTTATTTTTTGCCAGTCCTGGGACTTGAACTCAGGGCTTGGGCACTGTCCCTAAGCTTCTTTTGCTCAAGGCTAATATTCTACAGTTTGAGCCACAGCACCACTTCTGGCTTTTTCTGCTTATGTGGTGCTGAAGAATCGAACCCAGGGCTTCATGCACACTAGGCAAGCACTCTATCAATAAGCCACATTCCTAGCCCTAAACTACATATTTGTAAACTCTAATTATTTTCATTTACTAAAGGTCTCTAACAGCTACTTTGTAAAATGTCATCATTAAGGATCACTACTATAATCTCAGCTATTCAGGACACAGAGATCAAAATGTTCAGGTTCGATGTTAGCCTAGGGAAAACATTAGCAAAACCAACAAACAAGCCGGGTATGTGGAGCATCCTTACAGTAATCTCAGCTACACAAGAGGCTGGGGTGTACACAGGAGGATCCTGGTCCAAGAGCAGTCCTGGAGGGGTAGGGGTCGGGAAAGTGAGGCCTTATCTGAAAAATAACTAAAAGCAAAAATGGACCAGGGATGTGACCAAAGTGTAGAATTCCTACCTAGCAAAAAGCACCAGATGCTGAGTTCAAACTCTAACATCATCAAATTAAAAAAAAAACTTTATTCCCATCCAGAACCAGCGGTTGGCCTCTTGCCATTCCAACTAAGTAACTGTGCCCGAAATTTTAATGTTAGCCTATATTAAATATAATTCAGAATATAAGAAGAAAAATTATAAGGCCAAATAATGACAGGTTTGGGGGTGATTTATGGCAGTGCTTCTGTGTCTCAGGATAATAATCTGAATTTGATGCATCAGCATCATGCTAAGACTTTTTTTTGTTTTTGTTTTTGGGGCTTGAACTCAGGGCCTGGGCACTGTCTCTGAGCTTTTTTGCTCAAGATTAGTGCTCTACCACTTTGAACCACAGCTCTATTTTCAGTTTTCTGACAGTTAATTGGAGGTAAGAGTCTCACAGACTTTCCTGTCTAGAGTGGCTTTGAACTGTGATCCCCTGACCTTAGCCTCCTGAGTAGCTAGGATAACAAGTATGAGCCACCAGCCCTTTGTATGCTAAGACTTCTGACATATTAAAGGAACAAATAAATGAACTGGTAGAAAAATGGTGCTCAAGCAGGTGAGTGCATTCTATTACCAAAAAGGGAGCTTGGGCGGTACAAAAAAGATAATCCAGTGCCAAAATGGTACAACAGAGGCTCAGTGGGTGAGACAGTGTGGTCCCCCCAATGTCATCCTTGGGAATTCTGTTTGCTCTTCTGTGAAGTGTAGGGGCTATAGCAGATGACTTCCAAGGAGTCTTTTGCAAGCCTATACTTCTGTGAACCTAGCTTGGCTGCAGTATCAAAGAAAGCATCCCAAGGGAGAGATCTGTTGTACCTCTTCATCACAAGTTACCTAAGTTATTAAAACCAGACCTCAAGAAGCCATATAGTATGTTCTATATGAGGTGTGATATGGAAAAGAACTCTAGACTGCAACCAGGTCTCATCCCTAGCTTTACAATCAATCACAACCTAACTGCTCTGATTTTTAAGTTTCCTGAAGATAAAAGATGCTGAAACAATAAACTATATATTAGGAAAAAGACCAATTTCTGATGTGGACGTGTTACAAAGGCAACTTTGAGATCAATCTTAAAAGCAAAGGTGGTAATATGTAAAGGCTTCACACAGAGTTCGATAGACTTTGTTTTAAAAATTAGCCTTACTTCTTTCTAACTCTCTGGCCTTGAATATTTCAGCCTTCTGAGTATTAGTTTCTTTGAATCTAAAACAGAATTCTTTGTAGTTTTAAGGATTAAAGACAGTTATACAACAGCTAGCATAATACCTGGCAAAACCTAGTCACTCCAATAGAGATAGATAGATAGATAGATAGATAGATAGATAGATAGATAGATAGATAGATAGATAGATAGATAGATAAATAGAGATAGGTAGGTAGGTAGGTAGACAGACAGACAGACAGACAGAGAGGCAGGCAGGCAGGCAGAGATAAAGGCTACCACTCGAAATAAATAAATAAAAGACCCAAAAACTGGAGATAAGGGATGTCAGGAAGTCACAGACTGGTAATTCAGTCTGCAATGACAGGTAGAAGCTAATCAGAAAGGGCCTGACCAGTTTGTTAGCTAAGAATGTAGTGTTGAAAGCACTAGTTCTGTGTAGTTAGCACTGAAAGGTTGTCAAAGACTGAGTCAGAGGTGGGATTCAGAACAATCTATTAGGGAAACTTGAAATTTAAAATGATGGCGGATATTAAGCACCAACAGCCAGCAGCAAGGATTAAATTCAAAGTGATGTGACAGGGCAGGGATCCTGAATTTTGTCACAGGTTATAAACAACATGGCTACAAGTGAGGAGAATTTTATACAACTCCTTACACCACCTCCAAGTTATTAACTGGAGACTATGTTGCTAAACATGGTGCCTATTATTTCATAAGTAGACATTTTGGGCTTTTTTAGTGGGGGGTGGGGGGGAGAGATGGGGAGGCACTGTTATCCTGGGCACTGTTGCTAAACTTTGTTTATCAAGACTACCACTTAGGCCAAAGCTCCACTTCCAGCTTTTTGTGGTTAATTGAAGGTAAGAGCCTCAGACTTTTCTTTCCCTGGGCTGGCTTGGAACCTCAATTCTCAGATCTCAGTCTCCTGAGCAGTTAGGATTATAAGCATGAGGACTAGCTTCTTTGGCTTTTTTAATGTATACAGCTGAGGACAGAGTTGACAGAAGACAGTTTCAGTGTCAGATGTGTGATCTGACTTCTCTATTTTGTGGCAGAGTAAATATTTCACAGAAGAAAAGATGGAAAGTACAGTAAGAAAATTATTTTATAAGTCCAGGTGGGAGGTACTAGGAGCTACATTCAAGGCCATGGCCATGGGGATAAAAATAGCAAATGACAAATGGAGGTACTTTGGGAAAATATTCTAATAGGATATGAAGATTTACAGGCTGTGACAGATAAAGGAGAGATAAGGAAAACATGACTACTAAGATTTTTGTGCTTCATGATCAGGTCTCTGCCACTCCACATAGACCACAAAAAGTTTTGTCTTTTCAATTAGAAGAGCTACAATGTGTGTGGCTTACAAGTGGACACAGGTAATACACTGAAAATATGTACAGGCTCTTCTGTATCACCACAGGACTACAGCTTACTTGACCTACCATCTGAACTTTAAACTATGCCATCAACTCTTTGATACAGAAGAAAACAGTGAGCATCAGAAATTTCATAAACTGTATTAAGTGCTTACCTTTACAGCTAATATTTTCCCACTCGGGACATGATAGGCTCTATAGAAAGGGAAAAAAAAGTTACTTGAGATCATTAAACAAACTGTAAAATAGTTAAGAACCTGTCAACTAAATATTTCTTCAGGATAGAAGACATAGATGGTTCTTTCAAAGAAAACTGTTTTTTTAAATTTTATTGTATTTTTATTATAAAGATACTGTACAGAGGGGTTGCAGTTACATGAGTAAGGTAATGAGTACATTTCCTCTTGAGCATTGTTAACCCCCTCCTTTGTTTTTCCCCAACCATCCTTTCCCTCCCCACCTCCCCATATCCACCTTTCCCCTCCCCTCTCAAAGTTGTAGAGTTCATTTTTAACATAGTATCTTGTACATCTCATTGTTACAATGGGTCAAACCTGTATCCTTGTTTCAGCATTTTATTATTTCCCTTCCCCTCACCAAATTAGAAAAATGTATATACAAGACGCAGGGTACCAGAATCAAATACAGTAAGAACAGGGGTTCTACCATGGGGAAAGAGCATATGAAAGAAACAAAAGAAATCATATAGTACATTAAAAATAACAGCAACAAAGATAAACTCTCTTGTGTCTCTATCTTGGGGTTCATTTTGCTTAGCACCATCTTATATGGTCATATGTGCATAGCTTTTGACCTTTACTATTTGTCTGGTAAGGTTATCCTAGACGTATACTAGTGATTACAAATAAGGGAAACCATGGGACCTATGTTTCTCAAATCAAAGTTAATAATTTACATTTCTATGCAATGTAAATTCCATGCATTATTCCCATATTTTACAAAGTGGGTCATTGCATATTATCTTAAAATAACCCTCAGGTAATGCTATATTATTATAGATGAGGACTCTAAAGCACAGAAAAGTTCAATGGGTTGCCTAATTAGGCAAAGTGCATAGTGGAAGAATCAGAGCTCACATTCCAGTCTTCTAACTCCAGATTCCTTACTACTCTGTGTGTGGGTGTGTGGGTGTGGGTGTGGGTGTCTGTGGATGTCCCCTGAGCAGTCCCAAGCTAAGCCGTAACAGTACTGAGGTTTGACCTTACTCAGGACCTCACCCTTGTAAGGCAGTACCCACTTGAACCACTCTACTAGTCTTACAATATAATGTCATATAAAAAAATCATACTTACAAGGTTCAAGCATGTGACTTTAAATAAAGAGGCAAGTTCAAAGTATCAGCTGAGCAAAATTACTTAAATCAATTGATATGTATAGGTTTCATAATAGAGAACATGCCTGACTAGCATGCATAGGCACTGAATTAGATCTCTAGCAATGAAAGGTAGAGGAGGAAAAAAGGGAAGGGGAGACAGAAGCAGAGAGAAAAGAGGAATACATTCATGAAAAAGTAAAAGAACAAGGTATACAGATATAAATAGCATGTTTTTGGATGAAATGTGGCCTTTTATGCATACTCTGTAGGAACTATACAGTCTGACCATTATCCAGAAACAAAATCTTGTATAAAAACTTCAAAACAGGGGCTGGGAAGTTGGCTCAGTGGTAGAGCGCTTGCCTTGCATGCCTGAGGCCCTGGGTTCGATTCCTCAGTACCACATAAGCAAAAAGAAAAAAGCCAGAAGTGGTGCTGTGGCTCAAGTGGTAGAGTGCTAGCCTTGAGCTGAAGAGCTGAGGGACAGTGCCCAGGCCCAGAGTTCAGGCCCCACGACCGGACCCAAAAACAAAACAACAACAACAACAAAAAACTTCAAAACAATCCATATAACATAAACAATCAATATAATTGCAAGCCTATAAAAATATAAATACAACAAATAGTTTGAAAGAACTGAATTTGCTCTATAAAGGTACTCACAAGGCTGGGAAGGTGGCTCAGTGGTAGAGCACTTGCCTTGCATGCCTGAAGCCCTGGGTTCGATTCCTCAGCACCACATAAGCAAAAAGAAAGTAGCCGGAAAGTGGCGCTGTGACTCAAGTGGTAGGAGTGCTAGCCCTGAGCTGAAGAGCTGAGGGACAGCACCCAGGCCCAGAGTTCAGGCCCCTGACAGGACCCAAAAAAAAAAAAAAAAAGGTACTCACAAAAGGATATGTGAGCAGGATAAGGAGGATATAAGGGAACAAAAGTCAGCACTCCAGAAATTTCTCACTTGCCTAGTTTCAAAATGTATTTACAAGGATCAAAAGTCACTCATTTCTTAGAACAAAAGTAAAGGTAGTACATAATTCTATTATTACCAAAATGAGAAGATCATCTTCTCCTGTTGTGGCAAAAATTTTTGGTTCTGTTAAATTCTGAACAGCTTTACTGAGATTTACTTTACATATAACATTTATTTGTTTTAAGGGTATGACTCAATGACATTTTACTACATCTAGAGTTGAGAAATCACCAACAATTTTTATTTTCTTTTTTATTGTGAAAATACCATACAGAGGGGTTACAATTATGGGCAAGGTAAGGTAATGAGTAAATTTCTTATCAAGCATTGTTGCCTCCTCCTTTGTTTCCCCTTCCCATCCCTTCCCATCCTACAGAAACAATGTAGCTATTAATAGCATACAAACGAAACTAGGAAAGCGTGCTCCCAACATGTATATGTTTTCCCATTTTTATTATCATTTATAACTTATAAGATTATAATAATTTATTCTTCTCTTCCTACTTGAGTGGACAAAGGTCAAGACAATTACAGAAGGTAAGCTTAGTTTCTATTATATTAATTAATTGTATAGAAATTCAGGCTTTATTCATTGAAAGGAAAAGCAAACTATAAAGATTAGGTGACAGTTGGGCACTGGTAGCTTACACTGATGGTTGAGATCTGAAGATTGCAGTTCAAAGCCAGCCCAGGCAGACAAACCCAAAAGACTCTTCTTTCCAACTAACCAGCAAAAAGCCAAAAGTAAAGCTGGGCTCATGTGGTAGAAGATCAGCCTTGAGCAAAAATGCTGAGTGCAAGAAGCCCTGAGTTCAAGCCCTAGTGCTGATTAAATAAATGTTATATATACATATACATACATTTTTTTAGGGAACAATTGTTCACTTCACCAAGTAATTATTTTATCTAAAGATAAAAGCATGTAAAACTACAAACTATCTACCTCGTTAGTATATGTAAATATTATTTATAAAACTATTTTTTCATTTTTTGTGGATGACATTTCATAAATACAACTCCTACACTACACTGATTTTAGAACAAATTACAAGCTATGTAATATCAGACTTTTACAACACAAAGCAACATTCAGGTCACAAATTAATTCAAGACATACACAAAATATGATGACATATAAAGATATAAACATATTTTTTCTTAATACCTGCTGAGAATTTGTTGGACTATGCTAGTTTAATTAAAAATTTTATTTTGTTCCATGTAAATACAAAGTAATATATGACTTAATAATTATTCTTTTTCCTTTATACCACAGATTTTTTTCAAAGAGTTGTATAAATATGTAAATATTTGAAATTTGCAAAAAAAAAAAAAAAAAGAGCAGCATTTATACCAGGAACAATAAGCAACACCTGGACTTCTGAGCCCAGATGCAATGATAACCAAATGATAGGCAGATAGTCTAATACATAGACCATACTGGACAGCTTGGCAACTTAATTAGCTTGTCAAGAAAGCAGATCTCTTTTCCAAAAGAAAGGTCTCCTATTTCCAAGTGAATTAAAAGGGGAGACTTGATGATTTAATTATGACGCACGATAATTCATCCGTGGAAGTTTGGGTTCGATTTCGGGCAATAAAGATGCTGTGGGGCTTGGTTTACAGTGCAATGACAGTACCAATTTAACATTTAATCATCAAAGAGAGGTGGCTAACAAAGACAATGCCAGGACCCAGTATGGCCTTGCACTTTACAAATGGCATTCTACCTGCAGAAAAGGAATTTGTTTACTTTCAAGGGATACTGCATCTCAATTGGAGAGTGCGTCTCAAATGTCTTGACCTTCCTCAACACATTAACTGTAAAGTGATTAATGAAGTTTGAATGGAGACTCTGGTTACACCAAAAGACAACTATACAATGTTTTAATTAACAGCTAACACTTCAAATTAGTTTGTTGTTGCCACAGTAATTACCTGTTCCAAAGAGTGCACTGAGGAAGCATTTTTGTGAGATATTTTTAGTGCTTAATCCTTGAGTGTTCCATTTGGTTTGTGACTCGCACAGACTTTCTGGAAATAGTCCCAGCCCTTAAAACTGAGCACACACACCATAATACACTTTAAAATGCCGAAAGCTAGTAGGCCAGTACACATTTTTAAATATTTGAAAAGACAGGCACAAGAGAACATTTACTATCTATACTTTCTTAGATTCTTTCCATTTTTCTTTTTCCTCTTTGGCAATGCTGGGGATTCAACCCTAGGTCTTACACATGCCAAACAAGTAAGTGCTCTATTATGAATTACATCCCCCGCTCTTTCTTTTTTCCTTTGGGATAATAGATTCTAGATAACTGAACAAAAACACTGGCATCAATCTTGACTCTCAGTACAGAGTAAGAGTTTACTGGGAAATTTTAAAATTTACTGCAGAAATATCCAAAAGCCATGTTAAATACCTTGCCCAGGACTATATAATTACATAATTCCAGTTTGCCTAGACTAGAATCATGGCAGAATACAGTGTATTTTATGTTCTAGACCTAAAAGAAATGTGTAAAAATGCTGTTTTCTTACTTGTATTCTAAGGCAGAAAAACACAGAACTAAAACTGTATAAAAATATAGATTTGGGACTGGGAAGGTGGCTCAGTGGTAGAGTGCTTGCCTTGAATGCATGAGGCCCTGGGTTCAATTCCCTAGCACCATTAAGAAAAAAGAAAAAAGCCGGAAGTCGCGCTGTGGCTCAAGTGGTAGAGCGCTAGCCTTGAGCTGAAGAGCTGAGGGACAGCGCCCAGGCCCAGAGTTCAGGCCCTCCCCCCAAAAAAAATATTTGTTTGTTTGTTTGTTTATTTCAGTCAGCCTGCAATCACTGTCAATCTATCCCAAGAGGTAGAAGAACAGAGTGTGGGCTTTTTAGACATTTCCT